CTCTCTCTCTCTCTCTCTCTCTCTCTCTCTCTCTCTCTCTCTCTCTCTCTCTCTCTCTCTCTCTCTGTGCGTTGCTGAGTCTTACCACCACATCGCGCGCCGTGCTTTTCCTTTGTTTTTGTTTTATTTTGAATCTCCTTTTTTTTTTTTCTGTTTTTCCTCTTTTCATTTCTGATTTTTTTTTTTTTAAATCGGCGACCGGGTGTTCGGTCCCCCGACCCCCTAAAGTCGCGGCGCGTATACGGCCGCAACTTTTTTTTATAGCTGGTAGAGGTACTGGTGGTTTAAGATGAAATGAATACCTGACCAAATTCAACGTCACTTCCGGCCAGGCAACCCACCAATACTAGATGACAAAAATGTAGGCGCACAACTGCCTTTTTTTTTTTTCTTTTTTCTTTTTGTTTTTCAAAAGCTGCCTTCTCCTCATCGGGGGACAGCCATATATTTTTCTCTCACCTAACATATCTTTTAACTGGCCTTCTGCCACGTCATCAAGGAACATATCTTTCTTACCAGAACCTACCTACCAGGCTATACAGGGGACCCCTCCAAGCATTCTACCTCTCGTCTGTGAAGGGAGGTTACCTCTCTCAGCTGTGGATAGCGGTTAACGGCATGTTTGCCCCTTTGCCCTAGCGTTTAGGGTGCAGGGTTGGCGCCGCCGGTGGGGGCCCGACTAACACAAGGACCGAGCATTTGCCAGAAACTGTGCCTCCCTTTTCATCTTCCCCCACCCCCATCCAGTAACCATAGTGTCTATAGCCAACACTCTCCCACACACCACACGCAACCAACTCCCACACGCACTCACACCCGTGTTGGCTGAAGACCTTATTACTAATACTGACGGGGAGGATGGTCCAGTTGATGTGGCTCAGTGGTTAGAGCACCGGTTGGAAATGCGCATTGTGGTATGAGGTTGCGGGTTCAAAACTCCGCAGCCTTGCGCATGGACACTGGCAGGGCGTTAGAATGACGCACACCTGGATGCACACCCCCTTGGGATGATGCAGGTAAGTTATTACAGACACGGCCTGCGCACCACCCAAGGGGTAGTCCATGGTTGTTGTATGTGGGGACTGGGGCGATGGTGGGTATCCTGATGTTCTTGGTCTACGGGGTTGTCATGAGACTGCTGGGTGGCTCTCATAGTCCGGTTTACTCGAGCCCAGCAGAGCACAGCTACAAACTATTTCACAGTGTATGTCAATAGGTTAGGTCACTTGCACGATTCACATAAGGTCCTGTGTTCTATACCAGACTAACTTAGGGCTGGTCATCCTCTTAGTACGTGGTCAAAGGATTGAGGCTGGCATAGCAATTCCTTAGTACGGGATGTCGGGAATGTCAGGAGAGAGTGCACTTTACCGCAGGGCCAGAACGGGCTCCAGGGACATACGAGGGAACAGAGGATTGTCTGCTCTCAGATTATCATACAACACAGGGCTTAGAGATTATCCAGGGTCAATACATACAGTTCATGATTCACGATTGAGGTTGGGCTATCCTCCTAGTACGTACCTTAGAGTTGAGGCTGGCATAGCAGTCTTTAGTACGGATGTCGGGGGTGTCAGGAGATACTGCACCTTACCGCGGGGCCGAAACGGGCTCCAGGGAAATACGAGGGAACGGAGGATCCCCATCTCTCTACCATCAACATCATAGTACACTGTAGTAAAAAAACAACGTAAGGATAAAGAAACTCAATCCATAACTCATGACCTAGGGTTGGCTATCCTCCTAGTACGTAGCATAGGGTTGAGGCTGGCATAGCAGTTCCTTAGTACGGGATGTCGGGGGTGTCATGGCCGGAACGGGCTCCAGGGACATACGATGGAACGGAGGATACCCAGCTCACTATCATCACCACACAACTAAGCTAGATGGGAGTCACTGTGCACCCTCATGAAGACCTGTAGTAGCATGTTCAAACCTAGCTCCTGAAGTCCCCGTGCAATCAGGCTTGCACGGCATCTGCTTCGACCGGGGCTGAGCAGGGGGTAGGCATCTCTGCTTAGCCCTGGTACCTGCAACCGCTGTCTAGTCAGGTCACCCCGCCAAGATGGCAATGGGTGATGGTCCTGGGTGGTTAACACTAGGGTAGGACAGGGGGGGTGGGGGTGCGCCAGGGCAAAAAGATAAGAGGAAGGGTGGGTGGGGTCTTCAGAGGAGTTCATCTGGACAACCGGCCAAGTACTGTGGGTGACTGCCATCCGTCTAGTATCCCACCTCTACAACAACCTGGGCTTTATGATTACACACGAAAAAAAAAAGAAAAAAAAAAAGGATCCACTCCAATTGACTATCTCAGTTGGTTGGCACCAAGAGTGCTACAGGTGGCCAAGCCCACGACCTCCTGAATGCCACCAGCGTGCCTAATCAATTGAGCTAGGCCGCTGGATAACTGCCATTTCTACACAAGTGACTTTTTTTTCCCCAAGTATTAACTCCTTCCATTTCATCAGGGCCCAGAAAAAGAGTTCCGGATTCAGGGGTCGCAAGGCCTCCAGCTCTGCTCTGTCAGGCAGAGCCCCTCCCCTGTAGAAAAGGTGTCTCTCTGAAAACACTCAATGAAATGATTGAACAATCCCAGTGAAAAGTAACTGAAAGTGTGGCCTAGGCCTCCTCGAACTAGTTGAATCAGTCAAACTGTAGCCCCCTTCCCCGGCCTACCCCACCCCGCCGGCGCGCGCGCGCCCGCCCGCCCGCCCTGTCAGGCTCACAACCCCCGGCCCCAAATACCTTCAATTCCAGACCCTCTAGTACGGTGTGAAATACCTACAAATCCTAGAACACATCCAGTCTATCCTTTATTAGATATACATTGGTTCCACCAGGAGGAATAGCTAGAGTGGTGAGTTTCGCCAGGTGTCCACTTCTATCTGCCGGCCCCTGAGGGTGAAGTGGCCTGCGTCTCTACAACCTTAAAAAAAAAAAAGAAGAAAAAGAAAAAAACGTAACTGAAAGTAAGCCAACATATATTCTGAGTACCAAGAACAAATAAAAAGAAGGGGCAACTACGCCGGAGTCACCAAAACAGTTTTTTTGACATTAAAACAGTTCGGGGCAAAACGAGTTTCAAATTGCACTTCGCGCACTGCACCTGACCGCAAGCTGGCTTGTATACATTGCCCCCCTAAGTGCAATTTGAAACTCATTTTGGCCCAACGGCCCCAAACTGTAATTTCAAACTGTTTTTGTGACTCCCATGTAGTTAGTTTCCTCGAAAAAGAATGTGGTTGAAACTTGAAAATTGAAAATGGTTGATTTTTTCGTCCCTTTTTTTTTTTT